ATGAAGAAACGAAGGAGAGAGAGAGACTAAGATAGTGCTTCACACCTATAACCCCAACACTGAGGAGACTAAGGCAGGAGAATCACCAGCAGTTCAAGGCCAGCCTGGGCTATGTAGTGAGTTTCACATCAACCTGATTTACAGAGTGAAACCATATTTCATAACAATAACAAAAATAAAAATAACCAAACAGCACAATGAATTGAAAGGGATCACACATTTTGGGGGGAGGACACTTTATATGACAATGTGCATTCATGAGGAAAAATAATTAGATAAAACAGACAGCAAGTATGAGGTAGCAGCAATTAGGAACCTACAAGTATTCTCTGCACTTTGCCTGTCACTTTTCTGTATGTCTGAAATTATCCCAAAAAATTAAAAAAAAAAACAGTAATACTTTGTGCTCTTGAGGCTTGGGATGAGGCACATATACTATGAATAAGAAAAAAGCCTAAGGAAAAGGGGTGTGGCATTGAGAACCCACAAGACAGAGAAAATGAAAAGTTGTTTGGGCAGCTGTAGGTCATGTGACTTCACACTGTGACTCTCAGAACCCATCTCCAGCTAGGCTCCAGCAGGTGGCATCTTCTGATTATCTGGACTTGCATGGCAGTGAAAACGGCAATGAAAACTTGTGCCCTGCTTCAGAAAAGCTGAGCCAGGGTCACTTATCTTCGAGGGTGGCCACTGGTGGGATCCTGCCTCAGCAGATGACACCAGCCCATCTATGTGTATAAGGGCAGCACTGATTGGATTGGGGGGGGGGTAGGGGAGAGGGCAAAAACCTATGGAGTGGGGCAGGAGATGTGTTGGGGATGTGTGTGGGCCAGTTGGAGGGAGGGAGCCAGGGTGGATATGATCAAGATACATGATATATGGGAATGAAATTTGGATTGCCAGTACCCACATGGTGGCTCATGACATCCTTAACTCCAGTTCTAGGGGAGCTGGTGCTCACTTCGGAATTTCATGAGCGCCAGTCTCTCATGTGGTATTCATAGATACATGCAGGCAAAACACTCATACACATAAAATAAATACAACTAAAACTTATTTAAGAAAAAGAGCTGGGTGGTCTCATGCTTGTATGGCTGGTATTTCATTATTGGCTGAGCCAGCTCTCCAACTCCTAGTCTGTCCTTCCTTCTTTCCTTCCTTCCTTCCTTCCTTCCTTCCTTCCTTCCTTCTTTCTGTGCAGTGCTGAGGATGGAACCCAAGGCCCCTCACATTCCATTCCAGACAAGTGCTCTACTATCATGAGAGAGAGAGAAAGAGAGAGAGAGAGAGAAAGAGAGAGAGAGAGAGAGAGAGAGAGAGAGAGAGAGAGAGAGAGTGTGTGTTTTGCTTTGTAAGCAGGGTCTGGCCTCAAACTCAGGATCCTCTAGCCCAAGTCTGCTGACAGTTGAGATTACAGGCATGCCCCACCACATCTGGCTTCCTGGCATGGATTTTTAATATGTTTAATAAAATGACTTGCTTCTGCTTCCCAAAGTATTACATCTAAATGTCATTTGCTTAGCAAAAATCACTCCTAAGCCAGTTTTTATTTTACCTATTATTTTTTATTATTTCCTCCTACCCCAACTCCTTTCTTGGCATGTGCATGCATATGTGTTTGTTTCAAGACAGGGTTTCTTGCCCTGGCTGTCCTGGAACTCGCTCTGTAGACCAGGTTGGCCTTGAACGCACAGAGATCTGCCTGCCTCTGCTTTCCAAGTGATGGGATTTGAAGTGTCACCACAACCCAGCATATATGCGTTTAAGTGTATGTGATGTGGGTACATACGTGTGTGTAGAAGTCAGAAGTTAATATTGCTGTCTTCTTCCTTGATCCCTTTCCCCCTTACTCATTGAGGCAAGGACTCTTACTGAACACAGAGTTTGTCAGCTGGCCCTGGGAATTCCTGTCTCCACCTCCTGAGCCCCAGGATTGCAGACAGAGCATCAAACCTGCCTGGCATTTCCATGGGTGCCTGGGATCCCAACTGAGGTCCTTACACTCGCACAGCAAGTGTTTTATCCACTGAGCTATCTCCCAGAAACTCTGTGCTGGCTAGTTTTGTCAACTTGACACAAACTAGAGTTATCTGAAAGGAGGGAACCTCAATTGAGAAAATGCTTCCATAAGGTTTGACTGTAGGGCATGTTTCTTAAATAGTGATTAAGGCCTTATGGGTGATGCTGATGGTCCTGGGTTCTGTACGAAAGCAGGCTGAGCAAGCCATGGTGAACAAGCCAAGAAGCAGCACCTCTCCATGGCCTCTGCATCAGCTTCTGCCTCCACCTTTCTGTCCTGTATGAGTTCCTGTCCTGACTTCCTTAGATGATGAACAGTGATGTGGAAGTGTAAGCCAAATAAACCCTTTCCTCTCCAAGTTGCTTTGGTTATGGTGTTTCATTGCAGCAACAGTAGCCCTAGGAACTCCCTCCCCTTTTGATAAGTGAGATTATAAAATGACTCCGGAGGTTGCCTTGGATGAGATTATAATATTGTAAAAACAAGGCCACTAAGGTCACAAGAAAGGAGTAAGGACTTGTCGTTTGCTGTCAATGGGGTTCTTGGTGAAATTCCAAGGAAATCACAGGTTTGTTGCTGGGAAGGAAGAAAGGTTTTAAACAAACGTTAATTGTTCTGGAATCCTTGAACCTCAGCTGGCAAGAGGCTTTAACCACACTCTGGGGTGAGAGCCTCTTCTCTTTCCCACGGCCTCTTAACATGCTTTTCCAGCCTGCTTAGAACTTGTATACCTTCTTTCCGAAATAGATCTTAATTTGTTTCATCTGCCTGAGCCCTCACAGACCTAAGTCCCTATCAATTCCATCTCCAATAACTTTATTTCTGTAAAGTGTGTGTGTGTGTGTGTGTGTGTGTGTGTGTGTGTACACATCTGTGCCCTGGTGTGTGTATGCAGGTTGTCTCCTTCCACCATTCAAGTTCTGAGGACTGAACTCAGTCAGGCTTGGCAGAAAATACCTTTAGCCCCTGAACCATCTCCATTGTCTTTTGGATTTTTGAGTTTTGTATGTTTTTTTAAAACTGGTGTCTTGCTACATAGCAATCTTTCCGCCTCGGCCTTGCTTTTTTTTTTTTTTTTTTTTTTTGCTGTTGTTATTGTTTGTTTTTTAATTTTCTTTCTAGACAGGCTTTTTCTGCATAGCCTTGTCCTGGAACCCTTTCTGTAGACCAGGCTGGCCTCAAACTCAGAGATCCACTTGCCTTTGCCTCCCGGGTGTTGAGATTAATGGTACGGACCACCACTACCCAGCCTGCCTCAGGCTTTCTACACTAAGATTACAGCTGTGAGTCCTCCCACTTTGATCTGCTTCCCCTTTTAAAGAGTACATTCGTGCTGAGAGGGTGGCTTAGTGAAGTACTATGAAAACATGAGCATCAGAGTTTGGATCCCCAACGCCCATGTAAAAGCCATGCCTCTGTGTATGTGTGTGTGTGTGTGTGTGTGTTTGTGTGGTTTTTTGTTTGTTTGTTTGTTTGTTTTTCATTTTTCGAGACAAGGTTTCTCTGTGACTTTGGAGGTTGTCCTGGAACTAGCTCTTGTAGATCTTGAACTCACAGAGATCCGCCTGCCTCTGCTTCCTGAGTGCTGGGATTGATTAAAGGCGTGCGCCACCACCACCCAGCCGTTAAAGCCATGTCTGTAAGCCAGGCCTGGGAAGCAGACACAGGAGGATCTTGGAGCTCTTGGGTCAGCTGGCCTAGTCTACTAGTGAGTTCTAGGTATACTGAGGGACCCCAGTGGTTGAAGGCTGGAGAGATGGCTCAGCAGTTTAGAGACCATACTGTTCTTGCAAGAGGACTGAAGTTCAGTTTTCAGTGCCCATAAAGAGCAGCTCACAACTGCCTGGAACTCTAACTCCAGGGGATCCAACCACTCTAGCCTGTGCAAGCACCTGCACTCCTTCAGATATTCCCCAAACACACACATGTACGTAATTTAAAACAATAAGAAGGAATGCTTTTTTTTTTTAATTAGGTTGTTGAGTTGTGCATGGTGGCACACGCCTTTCATCCCAGCACTCAGGAGGCAGAAGCAGGCAGATCTCTGTGAGTTCAAGGCCAGCCTGGTCTACAAAGAGAGTGAGCGCTTGGATAGGCTCCAAAGCTACACAGAGAAACCCTGTCCTGAAAGAAAGAAAGAGAGAGAGAGAGAGGGAGGGAGGGAGGGAAGAAGGGAAGGGAAGGAAAGAAAGGAAGGAAGGAAGGAAGAAAGAAAAGAAAAAGAAAGGAAGGAAGGGTGTTGATCAACAGAGAAAGATACCCAACACCAACCTCAGCCTTCCATAGATAACCTGCACACACATATGCACACACCCACAGAAACACGCGCACACACACACACACACACACACACACACACACACACACACACACACACACAGACAGCATCAGGCTTCAGAAAGCCCTTTAATGTTTGTACACCTTCCTGTGAAGACAGAGGCCAAGCTCTCAGGTGGCTGCTTTCATCTTCCTTACTGTTCCTCGGGCTTGTGACAGTCGCATCAGGCTGCCTTCCTTCACCCTTTCAGTTCTTCTTTCAGTAGCAAACTCCTGCTTGCTTCCCAGCCTTTGCACATGGGTTCAGCTCTGCGCAGTGCCTCTCACCCCACCCCCACATTGGACAATCTCATCTTCTGGGGACTTAGCTTCATCAACACTCGAATTTTCTAGTTTTGTTTGTTTGTTTGTTTTTGAGATAGGATCTCACTAGGAAGCTCTTGCTCTCCTGGAACTCACTGTGTAAACCAGGTTGCCCTAAAACTCACTGAGACCTGACTGCCTCTGCCTCCCAAGTGCTGGGATTAAAGGCGTGAGCCACTACAGCCTGGCTCCAGTCTCTATTTTTCAAAACTTATTTCTTTGTGTGTGTTGGAGTTAGTGGTTGGATGTTTCACAATGTGTATGTGGAAGTCAGTATAGCTTGTGGGAGAATCCGTTCTCTCCTTCCACCTGGCTCCTGGGGACTAAACTCAGGTTGTTAAGCTTGGGAGTAAATGTCATAAATTTACAAACCATCCTTACACAAGGGCCATGCTAAATCTCTATAATGTTCCAGTTTTAGTGTATATGCTGCCAAAGTGAGTATTCAGTCTATTTTTATCTACCTGTCAATCTTTCAACAATCTTCACCAATTGTGTGCTTTTCCTCATCACAGTGCCATGATTTACAACATATGCAATCTACTGTTGGACTACTATCTACTGTATCTGAGCCAAGTGTGTAGCTCAGTCAGCGAAGTGCTTGCCTAGCATGCATGAAGCCCTAGGTTCTGCTCCCAGCATTGTGCAAAGTGGTGCGTGCCTGTATTCCTAGCACTTGGAAGGTGGAGTCAGGAGAAGCAGAAATTCAAGGACATCCTCAGCTACATAGTGGGTCTGTGCTATGTTTTTTTTTTTGTTGTTGTGTTGTTTTGTTTCTGAGACAGAATCTTGTTACATAACCCTGGCTGGCCCTAAACTCACAGACAGCTGCTTGCCTCTGCCTCCCAAGTACTGAGATTACATGATTACATGGTGAGCTTGAGCTTGAGATCAGTTTGTGCTACATGAGGTCTGCACACACACACACACACACACACACACACACACACACACACACACAGAGGGCGAGGGCGGGGACACACACCTACCTTGTCTAACTCAGCCAAGTTCCAGGAGGGCAGAAGTCATGTATTTTGTCTACAGATGCTTATGGTGAACAGAGAAGCCTGACCAGGGGCTTTAAGTCATTTTCACAACACACACTTCTATACTACATGAGTGGGAGTTTTTGTCTCTGATAAATTGAGATTTCTCTTTTGCAGTCTGCAACCTGAGATCCAGAGGAGGAACAGCTTAGAAGCTTTAATGTCTTTGTTCACTCACTTGGGAGGGGGCCCAAAAGGTGAGCCCCAGGTAGCACCAACTGTTTGGGAGAGGCGGGAAGGACCGGAAGGGAAGAGGCTCTGTGCGGGTGAGGGTAGGGTCAAACTGGAGATCTGCCATCGAGGGTGTGGGGTGTTTACAGAGACAAAAAGTCAATGTTGCCAATTTTGCCTGAGGAAGCTCCAAAGAGGAACTGAATACCGAACAGGGGTAGCTGTGGAGGTGGGGGTGGGGAGCAGCTCAGAAGAGGTGGGGCAGAGTGAAGGTCCTTTTCGGCTGCTGCTTCCCTTCTGTTTCCCACATCTGCTGTAACCAGATGGTAAGAAGTTATCTTTCTATCCTGCTGAGCCATTGTGATTAAAGCACCCAGTCTTTGGTCCCCACCTGGTGGAGACCTAATTGCCCTGGAGCAACAACAATTAGCTACTGCTCCTCTGCCTTCTCTACACTCACTGGGAAACTTTATCTTTGACCCCTTAGTGGATTATATTGATATCCTCTTTAAATATTGACCAGAGATTTCCCCCTAATCCCTAAGGCTTTCTCCCTACAGCTGACCATACTGTGAGCTTTCTCTGATAAATACCTGTATTCCCCCCCCCATAGACTTAATAATTTTACAACTTTAAGAACAATTCCATTAAAAGGTGAAAAAGAAACCCCTGGAGTTCCTTTATTCTGTCAGTCATTTTCTTTCTTTCTTTTCTTTTTTGTTGGTTTTTTTGAGACAGGGTTTCTCTGTGTAACAGCCCTAGCTATCCTGGAACCACCTCTGTGGACCAGGCTGGCCTGAAACTCACAGAGATTGGCTTGCCTCTGCCTCTCGAGTACTGGGATTAAAGGCATATGCCACCACCGACTAATTTTTTTTTCTTTTTAAATGAGGATTTATCTTTATCTTGTAAGTGTTTTGCCAGTGTACATAGATGCCTGGTGCCTGCAGAGGTTAGAAAAGGGTGTTAGATCCTCTGGAACTGGAGGTAGAGACAGTTGTGAATTCTGGGAACTGAACTCAAGAACTACACACAGGAGCAACAAGTACTCTTAATTATTAAGCCATCTCTCCAGTATCTCAAGTCATATATATATATATATATATATATTATGTATATATAAATACATATACATATACACATACATACACACACATATATACATACATACATACACACACACACACACACACACATATATATATATATATATATATAGAGAGAGAGAGAGAGAGAGAGAGAGAGGTGGTCTATGTAGTCCTGGTTGTCCTGGAGCTTGCACTCAGAAGGCAGAGGCAGTTGGATCTCTGAGTTTGAGGCTAGTCTGGTCTACAGATTGAGTTCCAAGATAGTCAGGGCTACAAAGAGAATCTCTTGTATTGAAAAAAAGAGGAAAGATTATAATTAAAAAATGAATAAATAGAATGCAGAGAGGCAGAGGCCGGCAGATCTCTGTGAGTTTGGGGGACATCCTGGTCTATGTAGTGAGTACCAGGACAGTAGGACTACATAGTGAAACTCTGTCTCAAGAACCAGAAAAAGAAAGGAAGAACCATAAACCTTTATCAAGAGATACATTTTAAATCACATACAAATAAAACTGCAGACGTTATAGATGTTAATAAAACAAAAATAAAATGAGAAAGCTTACAGAACAAGCCTGATAACCTGGTTGGACCCCACTCGCCGGCATGGTCCAACTCCTACATGTTTTCTTACACACACACACTCACACACACACACACACACACACACACACACACACACACACACACATACAAATTTGTAAACAATGTTTTTAAAAGTTAATAGATGGAGCCCAGCATGGCAGCTCAAGCCTGTAATCCCTGCACTTGGAGGCAGAGGGAGGAGGAGGATCAGGAATTCAAGGTCATCCTCCGCTGTTTACTGAGCTTTTAAAGCATCTTGGGCTATGTCATATCCTATCTCAACAAAGGAGCAACAACAAGAAAGAAAAAAGAAAAGAAAACCAGTTGATAAAATAAAATCGATTAATGCGACAGGGGACATTCGAATGGTTTAAAACCACCAGCAGTTAGAGCGGGGAAAGTACTGGGTCTTTGCCACTGCGCATCCTGTCCCACCATTTATTTATCTCCACAATTTTCTTTCTCCTCCTTTATTTCTACCGTGGTGTCACCTGGTGCCCACATTCTCTTCACGCGCGCAAAGCATGCACATGAACACTCATAGCAGCATTGTAATGCGCGTGCAGACACCACCCTAGTGTCCATCAACAGATGATGTGGCTGCAATAGTATTCCTTCAGAAAAAGAATGAAGCCCTAAATAGCACAACAGTCACCGAGCGGCGCTGGCAGACGTCCCGCAGCCTCGGAATACTTGACCGTAGGGCGGAACTGGCCCCCCCCCCCAGGGCCTTCCCGGGCCCACCGAATACTGATTGGCTGAGCTCAGTAAGGGGCGGAGCGAGGCACCGCGGGGCGGGGCGGAGGAAGCCTAGTCTCGCGAGATCTCGTCGGTTCCGCATTTCGGCTCTCGGAAGTGTGGGAGGCATCTCCGGAGGGCTCCGTGGTCCGTGCTGGTTCGCGGCGGCTG